TGCGTTTTCCAGGTATGTACCAGTGTAGACTTTCCTACAGCCATTGCTAATAAATAGACATATATTTTAACATCCATGCTTTCTAGATTAAAGGTATAGTGGATAAAATTCTTTTAAAACCTAAACCTAAGGTATTTCACGGTTGGTGGATGAGGAACCTGAATCACTTCCTGTCTGGAGGATAAATATGGCGGCACCCTGCCACAGCCAGCAGAGGGTGGTTGTTGTTATGTTTCCGTGGTAACAGCAGCAGAGATGATGAGGTTTAATAAGTTTTTATTAAAATATTTATCCATCCATCCATTTTCTTACATACCGTACTTAATACCAAGCGGGGTTGCAAAGGGTGCTGGTGCCTTTTGGACTGTGGGAGGAAGCTGGAGTACCTGGAGAGAATCGAGGCATGCTCAGGGAGAACATGCAAATTCTATGCAGAAAGACTCTGGGCCGGGAATCGAACCGAGAACCTTCTTGCTGCAAGGCAGCAGTGCTACCCACTGAGACACTGAGCAGCCCTAAAATATTTATTTATCTATGATTTCACTGAAGACTCCTAGATGACTTGATGAGACACATTTTCTCTTTACCTCATAAAACAATCTAGTTCTGAAAAGAGAAGGAATTATGTACTTATCCTCTTTAATGTTAGAATATTAAGGGTGGAACGGTTCACAAAATCCACGGTTCGGTTCAAGGTTTCGTGGTCATGGTTTTTGGTTCGGTATATGTTGATTGTTACACCGAAATCCCATAAAAATTTATGAAATTAATGAAAAAATAAATTAAAGAATTGTAATTACTTTTAATGATCCGCGGAAACCCTGGATCATTTCCGTATGTTTTGCTGCTTTGAATTTAATCATCTGGCGCATGCTCTCTACGATCTCAAAGGAACTCAGAGGGGAGCGGACGGGAGCCACAGTGGAGGCTGTAGGCTTTGCTTTGAGCAGGCGGTCTGGAGCGCAGCGGGGCGGAGAGGAGCGCTGACAGAGTATGTGGGATTTCAAGGTTAGCCTGACATGTTGGTCGTGTTGCTGTTAGCGTAAACAAAACGTGTTGCACAATGCTTGCACACTGCTGCACTTTTATCCACAACTTTCTTTCCGCCGTCATCGTAGGTCACTCTAAATTCAAAGTGGTCCCATACAGCAGACCTATAAAGTGCTGCTGGCGCGTCTTCCAACTCCTGTTCTTTCCCACTCGCCATACCCACACAATTCTCCACAACAACTGATTTTTTTCTGCTACACCCAGCTAAGCTGCTTCGCTTCTTCTTCTTCTTGTTTACTACTGGTGGTTGGCTTTGGTCGCAGTACCGCCACCTTCTGCCCTGGAGTGTAAACGCTTCGCCTATGAGAAAAAGGAGCAGCGCATGAACCGAACGAAACACGCGAACCGAACCGAGACAGTCGAACCGAATGGTTCCGATGGTTTTCATAAACTGTTCCATCCCTATAGAATATTGATGTGCAGAATTAACCACATTGATTTTGTTGTCAAGTAATTGTTAATATATGAAAAAATAAAATTTTTGAATTTTTCCACCTGGAAGTATTACCGCTGCCACTATCTATATTAGATGAAAAAAATGGCCCCCCCCACCTAGCTCCGCCCTTGGGCAGCAGGATAATAAAAGCGAACATATTCTGCTGGCAGGTTTCTACATTTTAAGTTAATTTAGTCGTTAATAAACTGTTTCAGAGGAGTGATCATAGCGCTCTGCATCAGCAGTGCTGTGTCCGTCTCCCTGATCAGCTTGTCTGATTGGTTGATGCTCATGAGGCGCGTGACGCGCTATTTTAGACACTGCAAGACCTTTAGATGCTTGTAAGCCTGCTGCTTCTGCTGCCTGAAGCGTGTGCGGTCTGAACGTAGCTTAAGACCTTTTCAGGCGAGTGAATGAACGTGGTCAGAATGAAAACGGGGCTCTGACAAAATAAAAGTGCAAACAGTGGGTTTAGTTGGGCCCCCAGGTTTGGGATCCTCTACTCACTATTTTAGACTTGAAGATGTCCAGGAGCCCAGACAGGTGGTTATATTGGCTCGGCACTTTGCGCAGATGGACGATCTCAAAGTCGGTGCGAACTCCCGGGCCTTGGCACTCTCCTGCATAAATCCGTCTCCACTTCTGCTGGATCTGAACAAACATGGGGACCTGACTGGACCAGAGCAGGACAGAGGCTGCTGTTAAAACTCATCCCAGCATCATTACAATCTGCCACGTCTGCTTAGAGAAGATTACAGATTATCTGATAATCTTTCCTGAATCAATGAGCAGAAACAGGTTTAGAAGCTAAACCTGCAGTCGGATTTAAACTACAGCTCCTTTGGTTTCATATCTAGATATTAAATACTCTAAAACTAAATATTATGAAAATAAATACTAAGGAACTAATAATAGAATATTTAAACACATTTCTTAAACAAATATGATATTCAAAATACATACTCTAAAGTAATAATGTAGCATTTTATTTCATTTCTTAAAATAATTAAGATTATTCTAAAACAAATATTTAAATAATTGATCCTATTTAAAGAGGTGCTCCGGCCTCGACATGGCGCTGGGGTCAAAGGTCAGGGACCCCCAGAGACAGTCTGATATCTATGTGCAGAAGCTCTAGGTGACAAACAGGAAGTGAAGTTTTCTACCCACCAGCCGCTGTTGGTCAGCGACATGGAGACGGAGCTGAGCAGCAGGTTGCATTTGGACTCGCTGATGATGGCCTCACAGTTTGCTCCAGGGCTGATCACCACAAACTCCCGCAGGCCGAACCTGCCCACAGATGGAACCAGAAGGGAGAACTTTGCAGCTAAATATTCAGCTTCTGTTTGGTTTTCTGCTTTTTGTTGGTTGTAGATAAAAATTCTAAATCTGCAATAAAAATCAAGGAAACTCACCATCTGACCAGACAGTGGGCTCTGGGAGGGAAGTCGTTGCTCATGCACAGAAGATCATGCATGGCCGGCGGCAGAGTCTCTGAGCAAAAGGAAACCAACATTTCATGAGTGGATCTGCTTCAAGACTGATGTGAGTCAAAGCGCCGCAAAACAATGAGGAGCGTTTAATTGGATCCCGGAGAAGCGATTCACTAACTGGAATCTTTCCAGAAACCAGGAAACTGGAGTCATTCATTCATAGGAACGAATCCTCTGAGTGAACTGACTGAATCGGATCAGTGGATCCTTCCTCTGCTGAGCGGTTCCTTTTGGAGCTCAGATGAAGCAGATCCTTCAGGCTCTGAAGAATCAGCTCTACTAGCAGTAGGCTCAGAAGAACTGCTCCCCATCAGTTCTTCCCACCACTTAAGCTCCGCCCCCCTCGTGTGGGTGCTGAAGCCCCGCCTCCTTTAAACAAAGGGTCTGAACACAGAGCATAAAGGTACTGATCCGTCATAAAAAACTTCCTCCTCCCCATTAGCCAGACTGGATCAGACCGGCTTTAGCAGCATCTTCCTCCACTGCAGATGCTCCAACCGACACGGGCCGTTTCTCGATTCACTAGAACACGAGTCCGGACAGATAGTCTGGAGTCTGCCAGAACGGGAGCATGCAGAATAAATCTAGGTCAAACAGAAGCGTACTGATGACATCACCACATTCAAAGCTAGTCTGTTATTAATAGTCTCCAGATTATAATAAATTATTACTTTTTTTTTCCATTTAGTGGAGGAATAATCACATAAACACAAATCAAATGAACATTTTGCCAAACAATCAAACCTCCATCAGAGCAAGCAGTACTTTACACACGGCTATGCAGAGAGAGGGCTAATACTGACGGGCTAGCGTTAGCCCTGGCCGCTGCAGACGGGCTAACATTAGCCATTAAGTTAAAAGAAGAGAACTTTTAAACTAATACTCTGAGTTGCTGCCGCAGTGCATGCTGGGACAGCTGACTGTCTGGAGAATGAACAAGTCTGCTCTGATGCATGCTGGGTAAAGAGGGAGGGGCGAGAACAACATCCAGGGACCTGCTGTTCTAGTGAATTGGAACACTGCTAGGGCTGGTGATGTTTCATGAGCACACAATGAAGCACAAGAACACAGACTGAGAAACGGCCGGAGTCAACAGGGCTACAGCCTGACCACGTCTCCATGGAGACGCATTCAGATCACTGAGGTGAAGGACACTAGTGGACATCAGTTAGTGACAGACCTTCTTCGCTCCTTCCATCTTCCTGTTGGCCTTCTTCTTCTTTCAGGAAGTGGTGGGTGATGTGGAACTTGAAATCAGCAAAGTGAACGTCATGTGACTGCTCCCCCCAGCTGCCGCTGACGAATGCTCCCTGTGTCGACAGAGCAACAGCCCAGAATGACTTACAGCAGAGGAATGGTTGTCATGACTTTAGCAACCAGGTCACCTTTCCTGGAGACGATTTCCCCACGTAGCTCTCAGTCAGCTTCCACTCGTTCAGGACCTCCTCTACTCTGGACACAAACCTGCAGACCAACAGCAGAGTTACGCTTCGGATTTAGCTCATCATCTCTGCTGCTGTTGCCACGGAAACATCACAACAACCACCCTCTGCTGGCTGTGGCACGGTGCCGCCATATTTATCCTCCAGACAGGAAGTGATTCAGGTTCCTCATCCACCAACCGTGAAATACCTTAGGTTTAGGTTTCCTCCAAACGTCTGGTGGGAACTTTTGTTTCTGTTTGACAGAAGTTTATCGGTAAAATGATCCTGTTTACCTGATTCCCGCTAACCCGGATCCCGCTAACCTGGGTCCTGTTAACCTTTAGTTGATCCCAGTGAGGGAGTCATATCCTCCGCCTTGCAAAAAAATACGAAGCTGGCCACGGTTTCGTATCCACAGATATCTTTATGCCCTCGATTTATTTTAACAGGTTTTCCACAGATGAGCAAGATAATATTATGCCCTAACTCTGAAATGACAAACATTTCCTCGCTGGTAGTGTTTTGTGATGAGTTGCTTATTTGTCCTTCTAATTCTACCAGTGAAGCAAACAATTTAGACTAACAGTAAAAACAAAATTATACTCTACTGTCAGTAACTTGAAAAACATGAATGATTTAAAGTTGTTCTGCTTGCAAACCAAAAAATGTGGCGTCCTGAAAACAATAGAATGAATAAGATGACAGCTGACTGCTTGAACATGGTCACACATCATGACGGGTTCACAACTGCTGCATGAAAAATAATCAACAATAACAATAAAAAATTTAAAGTAGCCTACTGCAACCCTAATTGAGGATAAGATGATAACATCCAAACAACATCCCAGCTGATGGAGGGTTTTACAGCCCATATTCCTCCAGATCCCGCTGGATCACAAGTTAATCTGTGAGATTCTGACTTTTTCAGATCCTATTTGATCCCCGAACAGAAATTACTCATAATATTTCACATTATCCACAGACAACAGACGTGTGTTGGATAGATCTTACACCAGGATAAATTAGATCATTCATTCTGACCCGTTTGTTTACTTTTGCTGCATTTTGATCAGGCAACCACGCAGCCACCTAATCTCTTCAAACAGCTGTGCTGTGGACCACGTTTGTCACAAATTAATCTAGTTCATCATTTAAGAATATCTGCATTTTTCTACAAGAACTAATATCAAGCAGCCATGGCGACTCATACCCAGCTGCTAACTCTGGGATTTAAATTCTTCTGTGAAAACAGAAAAAGTAAAGTTTCCGCATCTGATACAGTTCATCATACAGCAGAGTTTTGGATCCACTAAAATAAAAACACTGTAGTAGAGACTTGGATTTGTGTCCAAACAGGAGAATCAAGGAAACATGAGCGCATGGATTATAATAACAAGAAAATAACTTTGTGTCATAATTTGAAAAATAAAGTGGGAATAGTTGTAGGGGGGAGAAGCCAGATTGTTCAGTTTGCAGTCAGTTTTTCCTGAAAAGGTGCTGCTTAAACAGATGTGTTGCTTTCTGAATGACAGGCCTCATTAATTTATTTATATTTACATTCAGGGATTTATAAAGTGAGCGGACTGTCTCCTCCAAGCTGCAGGTTTTCATTTACAGTTTATGGTTCAGCAGGAGAAATGACTATGTGAGACAAACTTTTATTTGGATATTTCTTTACACTTGCGGCTGTTCTCTGTGTGGGATGCTTTGCACTAACTGCTTTTCTGTAGATAGTTATTTGCCACATCGATCTAATCTGAAAAAACAAAACAGAAATTCATTATTAGATATGTCGGTTGATTTTTTTGGCGAACAGTTTTGTTAGGTTAGGAATATTTTTATCAGGCATCAACACAGCCACCTAAGCTTCAGTAACATCTGCGGTGCGCAGAGCTCATTCTAACCAGTTAATCTGTCACACCTGCGCTCAGGGCAGCAAATCCAGATGTTACACATTTACGGATCTAACACGGCAGAAGTGTAGCAAAAATCTGGTGTGTAAAGAGAGCAAACGGAGAAACCGCTGGACTTGTAACCAATGATTTGTCTGTATTTCTGGGTCTTGAAGCGAAAATACTTCAGACAGAAGTGTCTCTGTGTTTGTTTACAGATTGTTCTACACATTTGTAAATCTTAATACAGATTTGTGGATTTCTTTTTTTATAAATTTGCAAACCGGATTAGGCACACAGTAGTTTTGCACAGTTGCAGATTGTTTTACAGACACACAAATCTCCTCACACATTTGCAAATAATAAAGCATCAGTTTTGGCCCCATATCCTTTAGCTCACCGTTCCCACTCTGAAGCGGTGGTAAAGTCCGTTATCTCAAACACCTCCGACTCCGGCTGGAAGAACAGAAGAGGAGAAGATAAGGAGAAGGAAAGGAGAAGGAAATGTTGACGTTAATTCCTGCAGCAGGAAGCTGTAACTGAGCCTCAGTAATACAGTAAAACCTACATCGTTGTCAGCCGCCATGTTGATGCGCTTCTGTTTTCCTTCTTCTTCTTAGTTGTTGCAGCAGCGCGTTGCTGCCCCCCTCTGGTCAGAGGGTGTCATCCACTGATCTCTATTTATTCACCGGATTGCTGATGGAACCTGCTGCCAATTCCTTACAAATAATTCAGTTTGGTTTATATATTAATGAAAAAAGGTGGAATTCTTAGTTAATACTTTGATGATTTTAACCAAATATTATATCCATAAATGTCGTTATGCAAAATGCTCCCTCTCATTCTCTGCTCTCAAAAACAAACTTTCCTCCTTCAACCGATGTGTGAAGAAGATGCAGAACCTTAAAGCAAATAAATTGTCCGATTTATTGGAGAAATATCAGTTAGTCCCCTCTTCTAAATAATTCTTTTTTTTTTCTCTTCCTTGTTCTAGCCTGTAATTTTTTTATTGGAGTTAATAGGAGTTGTGATCTTATTTGTTTCTTGTAATGTTCAATATTGACGTATTGTTGAATTTGTCATTGATATTCTGTTTTGTTTTTTTTAATAATAAAAAAAAAGAACCTGCCGCCATCTTGGTACTCCCCACTCTCGCGCCATAAAAACGCCTGTAATGTAATTACCATAACAGTGTAATCAATACAGGTATATTATATTTAAATTATTAATTTAGCAGTTTTTGGACATCATCGGATAGTATGTAATATTCTTATTACCTGAGTACAGTATTTTATGCCCCATTACCACTTATTTTATTGTGATGGTTTGTATAATATGTTATATTACATGATTTATAGACTTCATTGACTTCATAATGACTGTTCAATGTGATGGGCCTATTTATTTATTCTAAGTTAAAGTTAATCTACTGACGCTATGAAACAGCCAGTCTGTGTCAAAGTGATGAATTTATCTTTATTTTAAGAGTTTAAGTCCCTGAAAATGAGAACATAATGGTTGTTTGATTGGGAGACAGTGCTGTGAAGCCACTGGCCACCATAGGGAGTACCAATATGGTGGCCAGTGGCTTCACAGCACTGTCTCCTACCAACTTTTTTTTTTTATTATTGCAAAAAGAACATACAAGAACAATAAGAACAGTATAGAACATTATTAATTACAAACAAATACAACATCAAAGGGCTTTATAAAACAGCAATTTTACTATGTCATTATCAAATCTGTGCTCGAGGGTTGCAAATCTTTAAGGGTAGCTATGATTTTAATGGCTTTAGCATTTGAACTGAATTCTAAGGATTCTATATAGATATTAATAGAAGATAATAAAATCTGGAAATTAGTTTTTTGTTGTAAATATTTGGAGGTATGTATATGATATTTACCATAAATACTAAAAAAATTAACAACATATAGGAATTCTGCTTTGATGTCTCCTACCAACTATCAGCAGTGGTAAGATGAACAGTGATGTCATCACTTGAAGGAACAGATCAAGTTTGCTGCTTTGTGAGCAATCTGGTAAAACCAGCATCGCTCATGAAATCAGTGATCCAAAGAATCTTCTTATAATTAGTTTTTTTTAAATTATCATCTATATTTATAAATTAATTATGCATCGAATTCCAGTGGTACATTATGACATTATACAGGAGAAAACAAATTTGTGTTTTCAAATAGTTTTATTCTGATGTTGGTTTGTTTATTTTCTTTTTCCCTCTGATTTTATTCTGAGACTTGTTACACAAACCTGGATTCTTCCCAGTCTTCCCAGTTTAACCATATGAAAAAAGGCCCTCGAGACCAGCAGTATCACCAAGAATCATGGTGGACTTCAGGAAGAACCGGCCTAACCACACACAAATTCCTGGGGGGGCACATCACAGACACCCTCACCTGGACTGGAAACACCACCTAACTGGTCTAAATGGCCTATAAGTGCTTGGACTTCCTGCGGAGGTCCCCCCCCCCCATCCTCCCCACCTTCTACAGAAGCATCACAGAGATCA